CGGGGCGGGCGGCCGCCCCGCCGCAGAGCGGAGGGGAGCTGTCTAGCGGCGGCCATGGCGAACCGGACGGTGAAGGACGCGCACAGCATCCACGGCACCAACCCGCAGTACCTGGTGGAGAAGATCATCCGCACCCGCATCTACGAGTCCAAGTACTGGAAGGAGGAGTGCTTCGGCCTGACGGGTATGGCGGGGGGGGCTGGGGCGGGAGGGGGCTCGGCGGGGAGCCCGGTGAGGAGCCCGCGCTGATGGCCCGTCCCTCTCCTAGCCGAGCTGGTGGTGGACAAGGCCATGGAGCTGAAGTACGTGGGGGGCGTCTATGGCGGGAACATTAAGCCTACGCCCTTCTTGTGCTTGACGCTGAAGATGCTGCAGATCCAGCCCGAAAAGGACATCATCGTGGAGTTCATAAAAAACGAGGACTTCAAGTAAGTTGGTAGCCTGGTATTTCCCTCTTTTGGTTGTCGTACGGGATGAAACTGCCTGAAACAGCCAGGGAAACCTCAGTGCAGGGTTTAGCTTTTAGTGGGCCTTCTTGCTAAAAAGCATGTCCTTCCTCTTGCTTTCGAGACTGCTCTCCTTCTCGCTTGGGCTGTTGGAATGGCTTGCCCGTGTGAGATGTGCTCTCCTTGGTGATATACCTCTGCCTGAAGTATTTGGAATGCATTAAGGGAGACGCATTAATCTACTTTTTCTTCAGTATTTCTTTTGTCTTTGTGAGTGATAATGCACCCGTACAGAGATTATATACGTATACTCGGCTATATATATTTTTTATATGTGTATATATATACTTGAGTACTTGGAGGAGAACATCTAAACGGTCACGTATTCTATTTTAGTGTACTGATTTTCCTCAGAAACTTACGGGGAAAACTCTTTTATCTAAAACTGCTAACTGTGCAAAAAACTCAGATACATGAAATGGTTTACTTTTCAGGTATGTCCGAATGCTTGGTGCGTTGTACATGAGATTGACAGGCACTGCCATTGACTGCTACAAGTATCTTGAACCACTGTACAACGACTATCGAAAAATAAAAAGTCAGAACAGAAACGGGGGTAAGCACTGTTACATAGTTGTGGTTTCTTAGTACCTCATAGATGACCTTTAGTTAAAAAAAAGGTATCATGCTAGATAAAACTAAATATTCTATTTAGTAATATAAGCTTAAAAAATTGTGGTGTAACCACCTTTTTGAAACCTTACTTTGACTTATTCATCCTTTGGATAGTCTGTTGCTGGTCTAGCAGACTTGTACAAATGAGAACTGCCTTGCTTATTTTGCTTTCCCTAAGTGCTTGTGTTTTCCGTTGGGCACTGAAACGCAGTTCCATAAATACCAAAGAAATACCGTTTGAGTGCTGGTTTAAGCACCGTGAATCTGCTAATCGTAGCTGTGCAGTAATTTCCCTTTTGCAAGATAGGCCTAATGATTTTCCTCATCTTTGCGAATGATTTTGAACTGTTGTTTGTACAGCCCACTTGACATAAATTATCTGAAGTGTTTCATCTTTAGTCACTAGTGTTAATCTTCTTTGTCTTTTAAATGCTATTTCCCCCCCCCTCCAGAATTTGAACTGATGCACGTGGATGAATTTATTGATGAACTGCTCCACGAGGAACGCGTATGCGACATCATTCTGCCTCGATTACAGGTTTGGAAAAGTAGATGGTTATGGAATTCTTAACTGCATCAGATTCAATAGTTGTGTCAGCTACTGGCTTGTTCCATAAAGCTGTGATACAGGCCCTTCTGGCACACGAGATGCCTCCGTAGGTGTTTGTTCTTACTTGGGTTATGTAATATAAGATGAAGTTGTAATTTTTCCTAGAAACGATACGTTCTGGAAGAAGCTGAGCAACTCGAGCCTCGTGTTAGTGCTTTGGAAGAAGATATGGATGATGTAGAATCCAGTGAGGAGGAGGAAGAGGAAGATGAAAAGGTTGGTGAACTGTTTTGGAAAGCGATAGTTAAAGCTGGTGCTGAACCACCGCAGAACACTTTATGGCCTATGAGAAATATTTGAGGGGGGGCATCAGGAAGCTGCTTGCAACTCTTATTTCCCCCCTTAACGTATTTTCATATAAGCTGCTTGTGAGAACTTGTTAGACCCTGGAGCAGTTCTCAAGTGCTCTGTGTTTGTCAAGCTTTTCTGTCTCCTGAAATTCACAAATCTGGATCTGTTCTGTGTTAAACATATTTCAGATAAATTGCTTTGCATACATATATAATGGAGAGAACTAAAGGTGATCATGAAAGTTACAGTAGAATCAACAGTAGGAGAAGTGGCCACTTTAATTTCCAGTTGGCAAACTTAAGCAGTACCACTCACTTCTGAATATGAAATACTTGAGGATGGCGAAGCTTGATTGTGTGACTTTTGTCATTTATATTAATTGTTCAGAAATCTTTATTGATAGATAAAAAAACCTCGATGAAACGAGACTCACAGAACCTTCCCCCCCACCATTGTTTCCAGCTGGAACGAGCACCCTCTCCTGACCACCGCAGAAGAGGCTACAGAGACCTTGATAAACCTCGCCGATCTCCGGCTGTGCGATACAGGCGGAGCCGAAGCAGGTCCCCAAGAAGGTAACGTGGCTTTTCGTGAGCAATATTTTTACCTATTGTACTGCAGGTGGCTGGAGCAAAGCATAGAAGCGAAGATGACAATTCAGCCAGACTCTCTTACACCTCCCAATTCCTTTAGTCACCTTCTGAAGTAAGGAGTTGCAGTGCACAGCCACAGTCAACCTGTCTGCCTGTTTCTCTAGTCCTTCAGTAACTCTTGAACTTGCTGGCCAACTTCAGCTAAATTTGACAATACAGTGAAGATATTGAGGAGAACAAAGTGCTTTGTTTTCATGTAAGCCAGAAGCTGCAGAGAAAATCCTGTTAATTGTTCTTAGATAATAAGCCAGGAAAAACTCATCACTAACCTGGTTTGCTCACTCTATGGGCCGGTCCAGAAGCACGTACTGCCTCTTGTGCAGCAGGCCAGACACACGCTAACTGAGGACACGGGGGAGCGCAAGGGAAGCCCCGGTGCTGTTGCTGGAGAATATGGGAAATTAAACAGCTGGTTCTGCTCATGATTTTTAGTGACTCCTTCTTTTCTCCCCCAATTACAGGCGAAGCCGCTCTCCAAAGAGAAGAAGGTAGTCTTTTATTCTATTATTTAATCTTAGAATGTGTGCATTTTTAGTATGGCTATCTTAAAAGCTTCCTTTCTCTCAGTCCATCACCACGCCGGGAGAGGCATCGCAGCAAAAGCCCAAGACGACACCGGAGCAGATCCAGGGAGAGGCGCCACAGATCAAGATCTAAATCTCCAGGTATTTTTGTCACTTACAGATTAACTCTGGCAAATCTTTATTGGCAGAACATCCACTGCAGGAAAAATCTGTGTCATGGTATCAAGAAGGTAGTATAGGTGCTTAATCTGGCTCATAAAACTGCTAGTTATATGAAAGCACAGCTGGGGAATGCCTTTAATACATGCAAAATTGCCTTGAGTATGTTTGTTTTTCAGATATTTGTCAGGAGGTTAATTTGAGTGCCTCACTAAGGCTAGGGTTGTTCTTGCAGTATCTAGGACACTTGGTCACTAGCAGCAGATTGCATTAGCAAAACAAAAAAAGAATTCCCGGGTCTATGGAAGTAACTGTTACCTCTTTATCTCATAGGGCATCATCGTAGTCACAGACACAGAAGTCATTCCAAATCACCTGAAAGGTAAAGGCTTGGCCTGTTTCTTAAGGGTGTCTGTACTGCTGTAGGAGCTCTTACTTGTCATTTAATCTTGGGGACTGAAGGTCTTACAATGTTGGAGATGAAATATTTCAGACAGTGCCTCCCTCAGTGTTGTACGCATGTCACACTATCCATACCTGACCACAGAATACACCACTTACTCCTATGACTCACCTTGGTCT